CAGTCTCTATACTCCATTTAATGATTAATCATTTACTACATTTTTTGATTATTATTTCAATAATCCATTAATCATTATCAATCTGATTAATTGCTGAAGCCCTATTTGGAGCAAATACACACTTCATCTAAAAGGTGAGTCAGCTTTTCTGGAAAAAAAACTTCAGGTGGATTTGGTAAAAAGTGTGGATGAATATGTTGGACAGCTCCTCAAACCCAATATTGACAATAGTTTTAGGAACTATGAGGCTGTTGCATCTATTTATCTTCCAAAAGCACTGGGAACTGTTTTACACTCCATTGATGTTATTTGATAAACAATATTTGAATCATAAGGTCAGATCAAAACAGGTAAAATAAACCTAACATAAAATGAAACTTATTCCCTGGCCATTCCAGTACTCAGACCTATATAAACTGTCTGAGAGATTAGCTGAGTAAAAGAGAAGACAAAATGAAGACAACCGGGACAACTTTAACAAAGTAAAGTTATGACTCTTTTTTTAATATAAGGATAATTAAATTAGTTGGATGTTTTTCCCAATTTTTACAAGAATTACAAATTATTGTTGAACGTAGTGTAAATATTAAGATTATACCATAGTGTGCAACATGTGCTCTCTATCTTAAAAAAATAGCAGATATTCTGAAAATATTTCAGTTATGTAATTTCTGCTTCTTACTTATGTTAGTTGCATGCAGCTCCTTGCAGCTCTGAAATGGATAAGTCTTGTTAAGAGAATGTGTGAATAATTAATTCCAATTTCTTTTTTACAATCTTCAGGGCTGAAACACCCTCCGGCACTATGATGACATGTCATATATGTGCAGTATTCATGTAGCTGTTGAGCAGCATCCAAGAAAAAAAAAAAGGTTTATCTTATGAGAACGCAGGAGAAGGGAGAATGGAGCTGGAAGGAGGAGGTTGCATCAATCAGAAAGATATTTAGGATGAGTTTGCAGAAGAAGACAGTGAACCTTAAGAAAAGCACCTCTCTCAGTTTGCAGTTTTATGGAATGATACAGTCAAGCAGTAATGACACTTGCAGATGAACAGGTTGATTACTTTGTAGAATTAGCTGGAATAACCGAAAGCTGCTCTAGAGCAACAATACCAATAAAGACTCAACTCCAGAACTGGTTGCTCCACCCTGACTTCATGATCCGTTTCTTTTATAATAAATAGCACTGCCGGGCCAAGAGTAGCAGTGCCTCAAACGCTTATTTGTTGGGATCATGCTTGATTAAGAAAGAGCTACTTCAGAGGCAAAAATAGACCCAATTCATCAGAGAAAAATATAGCTCAATAGAAATTTGATAGAAAACATCAGGCTGTTACTTTAGGCTGCACTAATTCCCATTTGGGCAATAGGCAAAGCGAAGATGATGTTCATGTTAAACAGTGGCCACTGCAGCATCCTTTGCCGCTGATGTTAATCATATCAATGCAAGCATATTTCGTTTCACGAGACAATGTGGTAATTATAACAGCTTGCCACTAAACACAGTGAGAGATCCGGACAAAGTGCAGCAATAGCTTTGAAGCTTAAACACTTAAACACAGTCTTTGAAATCATCCAAGAGGGTGATTGGTCATTTGTTACCAAATACCAATATTTCTAAGTGCAACACAAAGCTAAAGGTGTAACATGGATCACTGCATTTCAGCCTTATTGGTTTCAGAACATAACTGGCTCTTTGCAATAACATTTAATGCATCCTAGTGCCCTTCACCTTTCTTCATCATCATACATTCAGCAGTGACAGTAATTGACCCTGGCTGTAATTGCTGCGTTAGCAAGACATGGAAAACAGAATTATTATTATTCATAGTTGCAGACCTTGAAAACAAAGTGTTAACAGCTCACAGCCACTGAGTGGAGCAGAGATTCTAACGTTTAATTTTCTGTTGTGTAAATTACAAACGACACCAATAAAAATACTCAGGCCTAATCTACTTAAGGATTATGAAAGAAAACAAATTAGAAACCTGATTGCATGCAAAAATCTAATAATTGCACTAAAATCAGCACACATCTTCTTTAAATCAGCAAACATTGCTTACTAAAGATAGTCCTATCGATCAAGCTGCTGCGAATGAGTATATTCTGATATTTTTCAAAGAAAATCTCATAAACATGGGATCAAACACCCTCTGATCCTCCAATTACTCTGTGCTGCATGAGGATGAAAAACTCATTCTTGTCTCTGAGTTTGACAGAAGCTTTAGTTTTTGGTTTAATCAAAAACTGAAGTTGTAAGATACATACTCAAAATATGAAAAATTTCAGAATTTAAGGCCAAGTGTGTGTCAGATGACTTCACTCATTTGTGTCAATGTTCATCATAAACAATCACCCAACAGAGCGAAACGTACATATATTTAAAATGGACAACTTGGACTAATGGTAACAAGTAGGTGGAAAAGACAATTATGACCTTTAAGATTTCCATTTGTGGTTTGTTTTTATTTCACTGTTAGTCTGAGTTTTTTTTTATCCTAATCATTTTGACAAGGTTTCTTTTAGTGCATTGTTTTCCATTCACTTCCTTTTTTCTTTTAAACACCTGCTCCTGACAGGCTGTGTCACTTTTGGCCTGTAGGGGAATCTTCAGTTTGCACTTAGTTAGTCAGTTTTCTTTATTCCAGTGTCCCTAAAATAATTCATATTTTGGATTTTTTTTTTGTGGTCATTTTTCATCAGTTGATTCTTGGATTCTTGGAGCAACAGCTAAAAAACATCTGATAATTATCAGCCTCATGTCATGGTTCTCCCCTTTGGCTGATTAGAGTTTTTAGTTTTCATTATGTAAATAATTCTGTTTTGTTGATCCTTTGTTCATTTTGTAATTTGTGTTATGTTTAGGCAGTCTTTATCTTACCAGCTTGTTTTGTCTGTTTGACCGCCATTGTGGAAAACAACTCATGAAGATGGACCAGCTAGCAGAGCGAGAACCCCATGTCCTCATGTCCCTCTGTTGTCACACAAACTTGCCTCTTGCGTTTTTATACTTCCTCACCATCTCGACCGTATCTGGACCCACAGCTGGTCCCTCTTGCGTTGTGGCGTGGAATACCATAGCACAGACTAGAGTCCTGCAACTGGTCGGGTACCCGCGGGTCGCCGACGGGTCACCCGCCAAAATGCTCTTTTGCGGGTGAAAAATACATAAATAAAAATAAACGGGCAGGTAGTTGGTGATTTTTTTTTTATGCGTGTGTGTTGTTATGGACATCAGAAATGTTATATTAATCAGGCACTGGGGTCACCCTTGTTGTAGCTTAAAGCCCTGCCAGCAGTGTGGGCTTCCCTCCAAAAAGGCCACAGTCAGTGCATACATGTCTGCTGCAGTGTTAATGGCGCTGTTCTGCAGCGCAGCGTACTATAGCCTATTACTTGATGTGTTAGCAGGTCGGGTTTGCGGGTTAAATATAAACGGGTCGGGTTCAGATTTGAATTGAAGATATCCACGGGTGACGGGTCGGGTTCGGTAGTCATCCTAACGGGTTCGGGCGGGTGCTGGTTGGTAAAACTCAACCCGTGCAGGACTCTAGCACAGACCACGTTTCAAAATTAGGCATAAATCAAAAATATCTGCGTCATACTTGCGACAAGCTCACTGCAACACACTGCTGCAGGAGTATAACCAGCTCTTTACTCATCTCTGCATTTTACCTATACTTCTGGTTATTTGAAGTTTTATTTTTTTTATTTCTTTAATTTTTTTTGTCAGAAAGTCCATGGACTATATTCCTATATTTAGAGGTTTTATTTACAAGGACTTCCCTACCTCATGCCTATGATTGCTTCTTGCTATGTTGCCTTGCCTGTGTCTTCTTGAAGGATGAGTATATATTATGAGGTCAGACTCTGTGATGTTATTACTAATCACCAAAGAGTTTATATTTTTAGGAGAATCTGTCTGTCTCTGTACAGGATAACTTGAACAGTTATGGACAGATTTGAATGATATCTATCAGAGTTGTCTCTCATGCCAAAGGGTTTTGGTGATGATGCAGACGATAATTAGGATACAGGAATTTTTGAAAACATTCTCTATCATTGTGAGCTAGAGATTAGTGCTGTCACGATTAGTCGATAAAGTAATCAACAATGAAAATTTGTTGACGGATATTTTTCAATGAGAATTTTTTTGTCTGCCTGTTTATTGCCTTTTTGTTTTTGTCTAAACAAATGGCTCATCTAACTTCATGTACTTCATGGTGGTTCTGGTTTTGAGTGTGACAGGAAAATGGCAGCGGCGGTTGAGTCTGAATCGAGGACGGAGGCATCTGCGAGAAGTATCCAAATTATGGCAATACTTTTGTGCAGCTGGTGATAGAGTGGTTTGCATACTCTGTAATTGTTTGTTGGCTTATCACAGGAGTACAACCGTGATGCACAAGCACCTTAAAAGGAAACATACAGGATTTGTTGAGGATGCTTCTGAAAAGGAAAGACACGATAAGTAACATTCTGCTTATTGTTAAACACCTAGTTAGCATGTGCTCTTTAAAAATCTTGTGAAGTACGATGATCGACTGTCTTTGGATGTTAAGCATGCCCACTCTACTCTTTTGTGAAGTTTTGAATAACCACATTGAATAACGCTATGCCCTCGCATTTATAGTAATAATTTTGCTTTTGAAGCCAGACTTGAGACAGAAGGATTATCGAATGAGCACACACACACAATTAAAATCAAATTTTATTTTATCATAGTTTTTTTTACTTGCCGTCACCATCCCGTGGCTACTTGGACAACCCCCCAACAGTGAGGATTTTTTATGAAATTTTTGAAAGATTAGTCGTTAGAAAATTTGTTGTTGTGGCAGCTCTAATAGGGCTATCCCTTCCTTTTACCTTCATATGGAAAGACTAGAATGATCAACTTTAATTGATGAAAGAAGTTTGCAATTTTAGTTGCCAACTACTTTTTATTTTAACCACATTATAGTAAGGATGTATGTACAACAGTCTGAATGTGTGTTTTATTTACCTGTGACCTCCAAGGGAACAGTGTCCTGCTCATCATTGATACCAACGACAACTTCGCAGCGATAAAGGCCAGAGTCGCTGGAACGCAAGCCAGTTAGCGCAAGACTGGCATTGTAGCGGTTCTTACTGTATCCAGGCAGCGATACACGACCCTGGAAGGCCTTTTTTACCTGAAAATGTGGAAAAAAGGATGCTGGTAACAGTATATTGAGACAGTTAAAACCCAACGGAGTGATTCATATTTTACTTGTAATAAATGTACCTTGACCAAATTGTCTTTGGCCACCAGGACCGACTGCTCCTTTTGCAGGCCATCTGAGCCTCTTTGACCCCAAACCTTGGTCCATTTGATCCTGGGAGGTTCCTGGAATGAGCTCGCACTTGGACGAAGGGTGAAGAGGCAGGGAAGCAGCACTGTTTTAGACAGCTCTTCAGTAATGGTCTGGTGAGTCACCTTCCGCATATTCACCACAGTGTCAGCATTGGTTAAACCTGAGGAGAGCAGAGGTAAAAGGAAAGAGAGAAGAAAATAGATAAATCGATCCACTCTTGTAAATGCAGCCACTGGATGTTATTTCTCCACTACTGTGAAAAGGTTTCAGTTAATTAATTCCTGGGGATAAAAAACATGTGCTTTTCTTTTAGCGTCTTTTGTTCCATCACTGTATTATCCTCCTGTTTGTTGATTAAAACCAAAATAAGCAGAGACCCACTGCATGTCTTTCATTATTGGCCACTGATCTAACACACCATTATTGTACTGACAGGACAAGTCAGTGAATAGCGAAAATGTCAAACATGCTTAATAAACCTCATGTCACCACTTGATTATGCATCACAAAATCAATACCACACTCTTTTTTACCTTTAAAGCATTACATCTGAGAAAAACATTTATTAGTCCAATTCCATTGATCAACGAGTTATCTTTTTGTCTGTATAGCTTAAACTTATTATATATGATCATAATGCTTAAATGCAAAATAAAAGAGGGGAATTATTGACATTGAAGAGGTAAACAGGTTATAAAACAGCTTGTTATGTATTGAAAGCCACACAGTCAAATTCAGGACACGCAAAGCCTGACCAGTGTTTTAATCTTTGTCAGGGTTTTTTGCTCCCTTATCTGCAACTTTTCCCTCTCCTGTGTAATCTAAGATTAATCAAAACGACACTATGTCTAATTCCCCCAAAGCCTGGTGGCTATACAAGCAAGTTCAATTAGCTGACCAGTTATAACCCGTGCTGCTCGAGGCAGCTCTGCCACTCAGAAAGGCACTTAGGAATTTGTCTAACCGAAGACCAACAGACTGCTCAGATTATCCCAGAGTTCCAAGTTGATCAACATGACCCTACTTGATTTTGGTCTTCTTGACATTAGATTTTAGTAAAAAATAATCCTAAAAAATGTCTTCCAATAATTTTATATTAAAAGTGTAACATAAAAAGAAATGTGTCAAGTAACAAAGTACAAATACTTCTTTACTGTACTTCAGTACACTTTTTAGGTATCTATACTTTACTCCATTACTTATTTTGCCTCCTACTTCTGACTTCTACTCATTACATTTTCACACAAATACCTGTACTTTCTATTCCTTACATTTTTAAAACAACCGTTACTCGTTACTCTTGGCTTCGGTTTAATGCAGAGGTTAGGGATTAGCGGACCGTGGTCCGGTGTTTAGCCGAAAAGTGCATCGCTGCAGAGATATGCATCCCCAGTCGCGGGAGCGCACCTCTTTCTGTGTACTACTGCATATCAACGAGGAAAACGGATTAAAATATGACCAATGGAGCTACTTGTTGTTATATTAATGATATAAAAACGTTTAAATAAATAAAAATTGTGGTTATTTGGCAGATTCATTTACAAAAGCAAAGGATGTAATGAACAACATTAAATCCAAACATTTTGCCTGAGGTATGGCTGATTTATTTGTTGTAGTCTCTTGTTATTCACACAAGACAATAAACAGTGATAGCCGACGTGAGTTTTGAAACTGCAAAGGTTTGTTTTAAGCGGAAAATCAAACGTGCATCTACATAGCACAGCGTTCACAGACCAGTGATGCATTCGCAAACGTCAGATAGCTATGGTGCATTCAGGAGCATGGGTCATTTCACACTTACAAGGAAAGAGACATAAATGGAACAGAACTTAACGCATACATTAATTTATTTATTCAGAAACAGTGTGTGCTTTCTTACAATATTGAATACTCTATAATTGTATTTCTGTTATTTGATCTGCTTGCTTTTTATTCTAAAAAATCAATAATATTACAGCAGCAAATTATCAAAGTTTTTTAAAAGTCTGTTTAAATGCTCCAAATGAAGCTTAAGATCATACAGTGACGATTACGCTGTCATTGTTTTACAGGCAGAATTAGCATTTCCTGACCCTTGTCCTTTAGCTACTGATGGATATACAGAAATAGTCATACAAGTGTCAACTCCTCTGAGATTTAATTTTTAGCAATTTCTTTCTTTTTTATTGAGTGTATAACATGAATGCATAAATACCTAATTTTATTTCAGTGTTAAATTCTGTTTAAAGTAACAGATCATTAAAAGTGTCCTGGACTTTTACAGGTTGATGATTTTCTTTATTTGGACCCAACTGATTTTTAATTGGTTGCCTCTGGTTTAATGTTTATAAATATTTATTTCACGTCATGTGCGCCATCCAATGCAGATCATTGGCTCCATCCACATCTAGTGGAAACTAGTGTAATTGGATGAGTCATACACAACACAACTACTCATTGGTTATCTATTCATCAAATTTGTGCTGACGCCAATGAAAATTATCAGAAGCAAGCAGGTGTTCTTCAAACTGCAAACGCGAATTGTCTATGTCATTCTACAATGTCAGATTCAGAAAAAGATGTTGAAAGGTCGGACACAGGAGAGAGAGTATCGGGAGATGGAGACCAACAAGACTTCCCTCATCCTTGGCCCTATCTCAAAGAATTTTTCGAAATAGTTGAAAAATTAAGCTTTCAATTCATATAGTGGCATCTGGCTGTTTTTTTAAAGGTTACCTTATACTTTTTATACTTTAAGTATCTTTTGGAGCACATACTTTTCACTTTTACTTGAGTAAAGAGGTCAAGTTGAAACTTAAATTTTTACCAGAGTGTTTCTAAACTGCTTTATCTATACTTCTACTTAAGTAACGAATGTGGGTACTTGTGACACCACTGAACACAACTAAAATGTTAACATTGTAATGATCCTGGCACCGGTGCTGATTCTGCTTTAATTTAACACTCTGGTTCAGTCTCCACTGTTCAGTCCAGCCTTTGTTATTGAGAACCTATCCTTCTGCTTGCCAACCAACCTGTCTTTGTCCCCCGATTCTGAGCCTGCCTGATCCCTCTCTGGATTTGCCTGCCTGTCTGATGCCAGAAACAGGATTCCGGATTGACCTCCTGTGCTTCTGAACCCTTGTGAGTACCTGAGCCTGCATGCCCCCTTTACTCTCTTTGTTCATCAGGAAATTGGACCTGAAACTGGAAATATCTGCTGGATTACCCCTCCTGTACTTCTGCTGCTTTATTGGACCCCGTTACAGAACCTGAACTAAAGCCCCTGGAAAGCCCGCACAGCCTGTTAGTTTGTCGACCGCTACACGGTCTTTCCCCGCAAACAGCGGATGCCCCAGTCCCTGAAGTATCCTGTCTGTCTCTGACTGACTCTCAGCGCCCTGGCTCCTCTCGTTATCAGGTTAGTCCTTCATCAACTCCGCAGTTCTAACCTGCCACTGCAGCCTCTAACCCGTCCCTCTGCTTCTAGGACATTCTGGGCCATTATCGAGAACTGCACGCCCGAGAACCAGCACAGTTTAAATCCTGCTTTTACACTAAATACTTTAAATGTCACTGACCTAGTTGAATCTTGGGTCTGAATCCTGTACATTACAAACATGACAGAGTTTTTCACCAACCTTTGGTATTTTATAATAAATTGATGGAATTTGTAGTTTTCAGAGTTCAGTTGATAGATACGTTTGGAACCATCATTAGATACCATTGGAACCACCACCAGGATAGTGGTGATGATCCAATAACATAAAAAAAAATAAGACTAAGGTTTTTAGCTTGAGAAATAACCAAAAAGTAACATTGAAAATATTGCCCATAAAACACATAATAGTTCAGTTTTCTTAAATGATCTTGAGGGGACAATATAAAAATGGATGATGTTTTAATTGTTTAATGTTCTTAATATTGTTCAGATCTAGTAACTGTAAGTCTATGATTAAATGTTTATAGAAAATTCAATTTAAAAATATGAAGAATGGAGTGGCTCTACATGGTGATATTCATATTCTTTATCCCTACGGCCATCACGCCATCACAGAATACTACATGAGGTTCAAAACAGATTTTTTCTAAGAGCTAACGTGGCAAAAGCACTTTCTTCTGTAGGCTTCTGAGATCTAAATCAGCAACATGTTCTAAAGGGTCATGGCATGACGAGCACCAGGACAACACAACACAGCTCTGACCAAATAACCAAACAAGAAACATGTCCAGTCAAACTACATAAGCCAAATTCAATTCTTCAGAACTTCATACAATTATATTCATTGGAACACCCTTCAGTCTTTTAGAATGAGTGAGAGTTTTTCAGGTTTCTTTAAATTCGGTCCAAATATCTAATAGCCCTCAAAGCTGAGAGAAACTCCAAGGGTAGACTGCATCAGTTTGAGCCAAAGCATGCAAACTTCTGTGGCCTTAGCAGGCTGGGACCTGATGAAAGCTGGAGCAGAGCCCTAAGCTGTTCTTTGAAACTGAAAACAACCAGTTCTCTCCCTCCTTGCCAAAGGTGAAGCCGTTTTCTAGCACTCAACTACAAGGTCTCCTGTTAGGTGTTTTTTCTAAAACTGTCCTTTAACTCTATATTTCTTCAAATGTTATGTAGATAATGTCCTGTCAATTCCTGCTTGAAAAGTTGCTGTTAGCGGTCCATCACGTCTCTCTCTCTGCTACCTCAACTACATCTGCAATCAGGGCAGAGTGGTTACACCAGCTGCAGTTCCAATTAATGTTAGTTTCTGCACCTGGGAGGAGCGCAGCATATTCTTGGCTCCTCCGGTGGATAACCGCCAGATTCTTGAAAGCCATGCCTGAACAGACATCTACTGTACCAATCCATATTTTGACCTCCTGATCTTGACCTGTATAATTCCTTTTTCTACTGCCTGTCTCAAACAATAAAGCAGTCATTCAGTGATCTAAATCAGCCCAACGGAGCCCCTGGGATAAATAAACAGAACCAAACTCTGGCCCTCTGTTCAGTGCACCTTCAATACCACTGAGTAGTGGTCTGTCACTAACCTTGTTCTTCTCCCCACATTGATTCCAGTTTTAGTCAGTTCTGTTCTTGCTGAACTATCAGCTGTCTCTCCAGATTCTGTTCAGTCATTACAAAGGGTAAAATAAAAATGGACCAGTAACTTCAAAAAAGATGAAACAGATAAA